CATTCGGCCCCACAAGAGAGTGAAAGTTGCACGAAGGAAGGCAACAACAACAACAGCGGCTAAAAATATATTCAGCTCAGCTTCGACATGCCCCAATGCAACTTGGCATAGCCAGAGTTGCCGTTGTTGTAGTTGCTGCTGTTGTTGTTGTTGTTGTTGTTTTTGGCCATGTTCGATGTGCGATCGTGTTTTAATTTCGTGTTGTATAAAGCTTTTTTCATTGTCAGCGGCGTGCGGGCATGCAACTTGCATTGTTTGCCCAAGTTGGATGCTTCTTCTGGTGCCTGGCTAAAATGCTAAAACGTATTTCATAATTGCTGTGGGTTACTTAGTGGCGTCAATGTACATCGTGTTTTATTTCTATTTTCTTTACTTATTTAGGCTTTTGCTTTTGCCCACAAAACGCACACACACACACACACAAAAGAGGCAGCCAAATTAATCAAAGTAATTGGCCAGCTCAGGGCGGCGGCGACGGCGGTGGGGGCGTGGGCCACTTGGTGTATGAGCTGCGTGTAAATGAACTTCGTATGCATGCACGTATGAGTATCTCACAGATAAGACCATGTGGGAAAAGCATTTTGGCAGCGTTTACAAGCTGCTGTTGCTGTTGCTGTTGCTGTTGCTTTGGGCTGGGCGCCGAGCCGTGAACTGTGTCAGCAATGTTGCATTTTATGCAAAATGCCGCTGCGTCAAATACCAAAGTCACTGATCAAAACGCCAAACTATTCGCCAGCCAAATGCAGCATGTGCGTGTGTGTGTGTGTGTGTGTGTGATAATGCAGGCTGCTCATTTGACTTTCCAAAGGGCCAACGACAGCGTGACTTTGGCATAGTTTTAACGACTCAGCTCAGCTTGATCATTTCCATTGTGTGGAGAGACTCATTCGTGGATGCGTGGGCTACACCTTGGCTATGAGTCTTTGATAAACCAAGCCAACAAAAGCTAACGTGCTATCTGGCGACACTGCCGTACCGTGGTACTATGGTGCCACTATGGTGCTGCCGTGACACCGTGTGTGGGCACAGGGACACAGCATCGCGTGGTTGTCTTGTTTGCACTCTAACAACTTCCAGTTGCGGCTGTCAGTTGTTCTCGCTGAAATATTTGAGACAGAAGTGCGACAAGGCGTGAGTCGCAGTCGCAGTCGCAGTCGCAGGCATACTAATGGAAAATTATTATGTCAGCGGAAAATAGTTCAGAATCTGAAATCAAAGTACAAAGTGCTGTACTCTGTATAGACAAGGTACACAAACTATACTAAACCTAATGAGCAAACATGACAGTCTACCTCTAAGCATTAAGTTATTAAAAGGTTTGCAACATGCTCAGGTTAGTATATCAAAAAATTCTTCATGTGAATTTCATAGTTGATATAGCAAATTATATAATATTCATTTAGAGTATTGAGTCGTCTGTTTCTTTCAGTTGGCGAATTCTTACTTGCCTCAGTTGCCTCAAAGCATTTGACACCTACTCAAGTGCTAAATGAGAACAGAATATGGTTTTCATGTAAACAGGTAAATTATCCATTTATTAGACGTTGATTGCCTTTTCATACTCTAAACTCATTCTAAACAAGTCAGCCGAGTATGCCTCTAGTGTGGAAATATATGAAACATTTATACACATACATAGATATGTAGTTGAGGTAACGACTTTTAAATGTCCGCCTACTATTCAGTTTTATATTTTTATTACTCAAGGACTGACCTAAGGTTCACTCTAGAGATACTGTATGGGATTAGCCTGCGGCAGATGACCTGCTGACCAGACGTACATAATAAATTCTTAAATAATATTAATCATTTTTAAAGCTAAAAAAATGATAGTGATAATAAGATGTTAATGATGTTGACTTATGCATATGTATGTGGTACTGAATGCTGATGAAGCGTTTATACGATCGTAATGTGTAAGATTTCTGTGATGTGTTCTGTGTCAATGATTATGACAGTATTGATGATAATAAGGATGTTAAATGAAACTAATTTGTATAATGAATACGATCGGAATAATTTTTTTATGAACTGTTAAATAAAATTTAAATTAACATTTAATATATATGGATCGAACATATTTGATACTGTTATCAATAATAATATTGATCATGATGCTCATAATAATATTTTTAATGATTATTGGAACTCGTATTGTTAAGATACCATAAACAATAATTAAAGCAAATACAAAAGGTTGATGCTAATTAAAATGAATTTGATTACAATTAGTTAATTATGATTATCGCAAGGCTCATAATGAGAATTGTCCAGCTCTTTTTATTTAACAATATAGTATATTACTCAATTTATACACTATTGTAGTTTATATTAATGTCTTCTTCTCACATAGAGTTGATCTCAGATAATTCAGGTAACCGAAAAATAATTTTATTGCCCCACAAACTACCCAAAAATGTCGACTCCCAGGCGCGTCATCTTCCCACATTACTCAGGCGGACTCACTGCCTGACCCGTAATTCATGCACTTGAACATGGCCATAAACATTCAAACAGCAGCTGTGGCTAATTTGTTTGAAGCACCATTAAAATTTGCGAATTGGCTACGAATATTGTGCAGCTAATTGAGTTAAGTGAGAAATTCCAGTTAAAACGGGGCGTGTGAACCAACTAATTAGAATTCAATATATTTTCCCTCTTCTTCTAGGCATTCCGTAAAAATTTCTTTGCGCCTTTTGCCCTAGCCGCACTTTTGGCAATTGGGTCAGCCAATAAAACAAAAAATTGCAGCATCATTGTTAGGAAAAAAACAAAGAAGGGAACAAAATAAATAAAGTTGCTGTTATTTCGGTGGGCTTTATTTTTGACTATTCACGAAATGCGATTTTAATCAAGCTTCATTATGGGGCGTTCAAAAATTTATGGATAAATAATTTATGCGTAAAATGCAAAACAAAATGCCAAGCCAGATTTCATTGATTTGGGTGCCTCGAGCTGCCTCAACGGCACGTTACATTTGAAATGATATTTAATAATATGTAATTGTAAAATGCAGAGATCAGAAATGAGAAATGAGCGAATTAAAAATTGTCTGGCACACATGAGGTCAGACTTATGTGGAGAGTTTACATAATTGCTGGACTGAAACCGCAAATCTTTTCATTTTATTGCTGTCACTCAATCTGATAGCTTATCTCTCGCTCTCACTCCCTTTCTCTGTATGTCAAGGTCAGGCAAGTAATCCGCAGACACAAACAAATGCTACAGTTGTTAATTAATTCAGTTGCGCTAATTTTGCTGCCCCATTTCAAATACATATTAACAAATAATTTTGTGTTTTTTTTTTACCTCGCTTTGCTTTGGCTTTTACAGCTGCTCATTTGCATTTTTAGTGCTTATCTTGGACCAGTCTTGGACTTGTCTTGAGCGCGCTGCCAATTTGCGCAATTGCGGCTGCAATTTGTTTGATTTGTTGCCTTTCAAGGGAAAGGTTTGCCCTGCCCACGTGCTGCTGCCGTCTGCCCACCAGAGATCACATCTCAAATACACACATGCAATCCATTCATCGTAAGACACGGCGTATTCAACGCCTCAGCACGTACTCATCATCAGCAGCAGCAGCATCATTATCACCTTCGTATCTTCGTTATCTTTTCGGCTAGACGATGCCAGTGACCTTTGCTACGCTGCTTTTCATATTATTATTATTTCGCTTTTCCACTCTCCGTCTCTACTTTGCGCTCTGCATATTACACGCTAGTTCAGCGCCGAGATCAATATCGGGGGAAGCCCGAAGCGGTTGCTGTCTCATCGTAAGGAAATCGTACTACACGATTTTTGTTGAAATTTTCATGATGTTTTTTGAATTATTGAAGATTGATTAAATTACGATGCCCACTGCTAACTGTTAAGAAATAGCGTTTTGCCTATCCACTCAATTCTTTTTATATTCAAATTTAACCAGGCAACTCTAATATGGGTCAAAAACTACAGGTTTGTTTATGGCAAAAAGAAAAAGAAAAAAAAAAAAAAAAAAAAAAACAGAAATAAAAAAATATATATGTTAATCGTTTGTTTTGTTTTATTTTTATTTTCCCTCGTACTTTTGCATATCTGCCACATGAGTAGTACGTTTAATATGCATAAATTATTCAAGCAACGGCAGCAGCCAGTGAATCGAAAACAAGTAGCACTTAAGCCTTTGATTGCAATATATTGGCATCTGTTTTACACAGCTTCTAAACGTATTCCACATTGGTGAATTGGCATTGATCTAACAAGATTTAATGCTTGTTTCATGCCAAGGCAGCACCAAATACCTCTGCCTGGGTGCCGCGTGTGTTGCCCAACTCATTCCGCGAATGGCTTATGATCTTAATTTGTTTCCTTTTGTAATTGCTTAATTAGGCAAGAACAGAAACAATCGCAATGACAATTGCTCGTTTATGTTGGCAATTCTAAATTTCACAATAATCGAGATAAAATCAAATGAATTAATAAATCAACGTAAGTGCAACGTTTCTCTTAAATCTTGTCTCTAAGTGCGGCTGACAACAAACGACTTTGAAATTTTTGCTGTGCTGTAGCCAAAGCGTTGCTGTTGATAGATTTAGTGCTACGGCTTAAATAGAAAATAAAGTTGTGGGAACCATTTGAAAGTGTCATAAAATTAGCATTTTAAGTGCCCAAAATGGCTTCTGCCGACTAGAGGAGAAAAACAGAACGGTGCTTAAAAAAATTACTAAGCTCATAGATGATTTTCGTTTTACGTCAATATTTATTGAAAATTTAAAAACAAAATTACCAAGATGGCCATGAAAATTCATGACCCACAAGCTAAACGAAATTGTCGGGCATTCGTTTTGAAAACCTTAAAGTGAACACATCTCAAATCGACACTTAAAACAAAATAAATATTTTCAAAAGTATTACACGTTTAAATTTAACATTTATTTCCTTTTTTTTTTCTTTCTTTTTGTGGTGAGAGAATTCGTTTGACACCAGTAAAAAAATAAATTAAAAATATTTATTCATTTTAGAGGTAAGGACTGAAGAGCGGGCATCATGTCGGAAGACATGACCGCCAAGTCCTCGTTCAAGGATGTGCCAAACGCAGCTATTACGGACATGCAGAACCCGTTGCCCATTTGCCGGAAGCCCCGCCCGGATATGAACTCGCTGACGGTGCGCCAGTATCTGGATCAGACGGTGGCGCCCATTCTGCTACACGGATTGCAGGCCCTGGCCCGTGATCGACCCACAGATCCCGTTAGCTACTTGGCAACGTATTTGCTGAAGAACAAGAACCGTTGCGACGAGCTCAATACGGATGCCATGTGAATTCCTTTCGTTTATTGACTTGCACTCAAGTTACGTTTAATTTCTTGATTTCGTTGCTGACAATCGCTGCTATTCGCTGATTTTATACCAAGGATGTTTACTCTACTACACACGTATACGGCAGAGCACTTCCTTTACCCTACTCACCGTGAACAGATGCACACTCTCCAGAAACATGATTTACTGCTGTTACTTGTTGCACACTCGTTCTAATGTAATCGCGCGCACTTTAGTTGAATATTAATAATTGCAGGCAGGTGGGTCTAACACAGATGCTGCCCCACGAGAATTTTGTTTTTGCCGGACTTTTCATTTACTTTGGGCTTGCAGTGCGTATACACAATATTTGGCAATTGTTGCTGCTGCTGCTGTTGCTGTTGCTGCCAGCGACATCACGCCCGAGCGCGTTGAAGTCGAACGGAAAATTGCACCAAAAGATGCGCCGTTAATAGACAAATCTTTTTTATGCTCTTTTTTTATTTAGCGAGTTTAATTAGTTCCGCCGACTGCTGATGCTCCCGCCTGCACTTCCGATGTTCGTGGCTGTTAACTGAATGATGACTGATGATTATTATCGTTCGACCGATCTCTCTCTATCGCACGTCCGTTTGCTCAGCTGGCTCGAGTGCCACTAAAATCGCAGCGCTTTTAGTTGACGGTTTAAAAAACTTCAAATTCAAACGGCCCAACGGTTCGGCGCTTCGTTTCGCGGTTCGGCTGCTGTCGGCTGGCATCGGCTGGCGGCTCGACTGCCACGAAGCATAGGCTCTTGCCTATGGGAACGGGGCAGCAACTGACTGGCCGCCTAGAGGCAGAGGTTGACTCTCGTCTGGGGCGTCGCGCTGCAAAGCCGTTGGTTGTCATGGCTGTTAGAAGTAATCTACTTTATGGGCACTCTTGGAGCACTTTCGGGCACCATAAGCCGATTTCATTTTGACCACCCGCAACAGTCACGCGCCAAACCGATTGTGTCTAGGCTGACAATATGTATATACATACATATATCCGAATGTACTATATATAGAACTGATATAATTAAAACTATTTGTAAATGTTTGCCGCATTCTAAAGTTCAAAATTCAGTTCGCCCGCTGTTGCTATAATTTATGCCATTATCGATTGATGCTATAATCTGAAGTGCGATACTTGAGACATCGTGTGCTTCATATTTTAGAAAGGGTTATTTCTTCGGCCTGATGTTTGCCTTGATATTTAAATTTTCGAAATCGCTTAGCTGCATTTCAGCTTACGTTTTCCGACAAGAGCCGACGGCGAAGCTAACGTACTTGTACTTACTCTCTAGACTGACAAGCATACTAGTTTCTTAACAGCTAGCTATATCAGATGTGGCAATGATCATTCCGTCAATCAGTAATTATACTCATGTGTAATGATATTTGCATTCATATTTTTGATTGCTAGTATTATGGCAAAAATGTGATATATATTAAAAGGTGTATATTTAAGCAAATACATTACGAATTACATATGTGGTTTAAGCTTAGTATGGAGCACAAAATCTGATTTAAATTTAAAATATGACATCATTTTTATATATATTT